CGAGGGAGCTATTCCCGCGTCCCTTTCCTTACCCTAATTTGAGTGCCGATGACTTCTTGGGCAGTTCGGCCGGGTGTCGCGCGGTCCGTAAGCGATCCAACGCGAGTGCCACTTGGCGTCAGTGGGCCAACGAGACGCTTCTGATTTCGACTCGATGCCCGTCAAGCCGTCGGCGGGCCAGCCGAAGATCTTGGAGCGCGTCTCAGGCATTGTGGCATCGGCGGGTCCGCCGTCATGCACGTCCGCAGAAGCTTTTCATGAGTTCTACGGCGCCCGAGCGGGACCGGGCCGCGACTTTGTCGACGCCCCGAGGGCGAGGTACCAGCCAGGATTGGTCTCGCCGCTGGCAGATGGCGGCCTGACTGACGGCGGCTCCTGCCTGCGCGGGAAGGCGAGAGATTGCTGGCACGGGGCGCAGGAGCTCCTCTCGGCGACGGAGCCGGCCCCGAGCGACAGCGCCCCCGAGCAGCCGTATTCGGACGCCGCCATAATTCACAACAAGTAGGAATACGCTAGATTATGCTCATCCTTGTCCAATGCGAAAATGCTTGAGATTGGTGAGTGCGAGGAGCCGACCGTGGGCGTCTTCTCTGTCCACAAGAAAAATAGAACGCTCAGAATGATCCTCGACGCGAGATGCGCCAACAGCCTCTGCGTGGAGCCGACGCGCACTCATCTCCCATCTCGGGCCGCTCGGGCGGCGGTTCGCACTCGAGCTGATACCCCATTGTATCTTGCGCAGATGGAAGTCAACAGCGCCTTTCTCAGGGTCAGGACGCCTCCTGGTCTCAGCAGGTTTTTCAAGCGCCCATTAGTCGACGTCGAGTCGCTTCGCGCCGTGAATCCGCAGGCGGCGCGAGGGCTCTCCGGCAGAAAGTGCGCCCCGCGTCTGTGCGCACCGGCAATGGGCTGGTCCTGGTCATTGTACTTCTGCCAGGAGACGGCGAGCACAGCGACCACGGCCGCGGGCCTCAAGGACTCGGACATGCTGCCGGACAAGCGCGAGAGCCCAAACTCGAACAAGGCCGCGGTGCACGCGGACAACGTCGGCGTCTTCGGCCAGGAGAAGTCCAGCGTCGACAAGCAGGGGCATGATGTTCTCGCTGCCCTGGAGCGCGTGGGACTGCCGTGCAAAGGCGTCGAGCTGTCCGGCGGGCGCCAGGAGTTCACCGGGATGGTTCTCGACGCTGGTGCCGGCACCGTCTCCGCCACTGCAAGGCGGCTGCGGCGCGCCCGCTCGGCGCGCCTCCACGCGCTGGGCCTCGGACACACGACTGGGAAGGAGCTCAAACTTCTCGTCGCCAATTTCACGCGGGCGGAGCTTATGCGGAGGGAGCTCTTGGCTCTTCCGCGCGCCTGCTACCGCTTCATCGAGGGCGCAGGCGAGTCGAGATGGAAGCTTTGGGGCTCTGCCCGGGCGGAGCTTCGCACGATGCGCTCTTTGATCGCGTCTGCGTCTACGGACGCGCGACGGCCTTGCAGCCACATCGTGACCACGACCGACGCGTCCACCATGGAGGACGGCATCGATTTCGGCGGCTTCGGGGTGGTGCAGCGCGCGGCTTCCCTTTTGGAAGTCAGCCGCGCTTGCCGCATTGCCGAGGGTTGGCGCTTCTTGGTGGCGGGCGCCATCTCCGCACGGCCCCGCGCCCTCGATGCCTACGAGCTTGCAGCGGTGGCCGGCGCAGCGATGGGGACTGGGATCGACGAGCTCGACTCGGAGCAGTCCTCGATCACCAGCGGGCCGCTCTTGGAAGAGATCCCCTTCGACATCGCCGGGTGTCAGGAGCACTGGCAGCTGCGCGTCAGCGGCCGCTGGGCTGCTCAGGAGGGCATTCTGCGGCTCGAAGGGCGCGGCGCGATTGCTGGGATTCGCCAAGTGCTGCGGTCCGTTGATCATCATTGTCAGGATCTCCTCATGCTTGGGAGCGAACTGTCACTCGTGTTCGCTCCATCGAAAGGGCGGGCTGCAAATCCAGAGCTAAATCAGACATGCAGGGAAGCAGGTGCGTTGTCCGGGCCGCGGCCACGTCCGAGCTCATCCAGACCTCCGCGACGTTGAGAGGCGCGGGCTCCCGCCACCGGGGCGCCTCTCTCGCGGCACCCCGTCGCGCGGTTGACCGGGAAGCCAGGGGGCGGGCCGCGTGGGCCGAGCATCGCCCCGGCGGCCGCGGCGCGGGCGCGCCCAGTGGAGCCGCCGCCGGCGGACATGGCGATGCCCGACAGGGCGCCAGCACGCAAGCGGCGGCGCCTGCAGCGGCGCGCGGCGCACCTCGAGAGCGCCCATCTGCGCAGGGAACAGGGCGCCTTCTTCCTGCATGGAGGTCAGCACCGCGCGCGGCTCGACCGCGGACCCTCACGACACCTACCTGGCCACCTTCGAGCGCTGGGAGGGGGTGCGCATCCGCGAGCTGAAGGACTGGGGGCTGGATCCGTTCTTGTTGGATTATTGAGAGCACCTCTACTTCGAGGGCGAGAACCACGCGATGGCGACCAAGCTCCTGGCGGCCATAGAGCACCGGTTTCCTCAGCTTCGGAACGGGTGCCCGGCAGCTCCCACGCACGCCCGTCATGAGTCATGCGCTTCGGGGGGTTCGCCGACTCGCTCCAGGCCGCAGCAGGGCGCCTCTTCCGCGCGTGGGACTGCTGGCCATGATCGGGGCCGCCTGCTCCCAGGGCCGCAGGGGCGCGGGCCTGGCGCTGCTAATCTCCTTCATTGGCTAGCTCGGGCCCTCGGAGCTGGCGAAGTTGAAGGGGCCGCAGTTGGTGGCCACTGCTGCGGGCTCGGCGGCCCGACACTGGATGCTGCCCGCGTCGCCGGCGGAGGAGAACATCGGGAGCAGGACCCACGAGTTCGACGAGAGCGTGGCGCTGGACTGGGGCGCCACCCGGGAGGTGGCGCCCCTGTTGCACGAGCTGAAGCGCAAGACGGACAAGGGCAACCTTTGGAGCTTCACCCAGCTCCAGTTCGCCGAGCACTTCAAGACCTTCGCGGAGCTGAGCGGGGCGTCGGTGCTTCGCCCTCACCCCTACTGCCTCCAGCTCGGGGGCGCCAGTTACGACAGCCTCACGACGCGCAGGGACCAAGAGCAGATCAAGCGGCAGGGCCGCTGGGGGGCCGGCGCCAGCGTGAGCAGGTGCAGCAAGCACGCGCGGGCGGCGAACGAGGCCGCAAAGTTGCCCCTCGCCGTGCGCCGCAACGGCAACGCGGCCATCCCCCGCGGCGCGCGGTCGCCGCCGGAGCTTCTCACGCTCCGCGCGCAGCGCGCCTTGCCGCTGCAGTCTTGACATCAAGGCAGATCCGTCCACGACTTAATTCACGCCTCCGACGTGCCAAACAGCAGTCTGGCTAGGCAAAGCACATCTGGAACTTTTCTCTGGCTCGGGCCGCGCGGTCGGATATTTCGAGAGCATCGGGGGCGCGGGCTGCATCAGGTTCGACTTGCGGCGCGGTGTCGAGTTTGACTTTACGAACCGCATAGTGCAGCAGGTGGTCTTCGGGTGGGTTCGGAGCAGGCAGTTCCGCGGGATCATAGGCGGCTTCCCGTGCGCCGCTTGGTCGCGCGCGAGGCGGCCGCCCCGGAGGTCTCAGCAGTCCCCCCGCGGCCTATTCGGGCTTGCCGGACGAGATGCCGAGCAGCTCAGGGGCGGCAACGCTACGTTTGACTTCGTGGTGGGCGTGATCCGCCGCAGCATTCGCTTTGGTGCGCCAAGCACAGCAGAGAATCCGCACTCGCCCCGCGCTTGGACAGAGCCATCCATGAGTGAGCTGCTGCCCAGAGGTCGAAAGATTATGAGCGATTTCTGCATGTATGGTGTGTGGTAGCAGAAGAGGACAAGATTTGCTGGCTGGTCAACGGTGCTTCCGCCGCCTGGCCTCGAGCGCAGGTGCGCGCCTGTCAGGTCGGAGGACCCAGATGTCGCCATCATGGTGCGCTGCCGGCCCGGGTTGCCGCACGTCCACCTCCGCGGCATCCAGCCGCGTTGCAACGTGCTCTGGACCAAGTTGCTCGTGCGGTTGATTGTCCAGTCCCGGGAGGCTCACGGGCTAGAGCACCTCACAAAATTGGTGTCATAGCGGCCCAGAACACGTAATGGGCATGGGGCAGGAGATAATGTGTTTTCGAACGTAAGGTGATCCGGGAGCATCCTTTCAGCCTTCGACAGATTGAACATAGATTGCCTTCAAAAATGCATATAGTGTTTCCAACATTCTGGTCCAGCTTTAGGATCGTTTGTTATCTGAACGGTTTTCCTAGCCAAGCGTCCGAGCCGCAGAGGGGGAACTCCTCACAGGGTCACTCCGTGGCCGATTGGGCTCCACCATCCCACCCCGCCTCCTTCTCTCGCTTCTGTAATGTATTTGAAGGCATTGTCCACTTGTGGGGCCAGGATATCATTTGTATCCGAACGTCAGGTGACCCGGGAGCATCCTTTCAGCCTTCGACAGATGGAAAATATATTGCCCTCACACATGCATGTATTTTCCAACATTCTGGTCCAGTGTTAGGACAATGTTCAACATATTTCACCCTTCGTTCCTTATCCATCATCCTCCACCACCACCTGCGTATCCGCCCCTTCTGCCTCCGAATCCTCATCTTCATCCGTCATCAGTCATTCCTCATCCCTCATCCCTCCCCCTCCTCTTCCTCCGCCTCCTCCTCCTCAGCCTCCTCATCCCTGATCCTTCATCTCTCATCCTTCATCCTCATCCCTCACCCCCCCCCCCCCATCCTCCATCCTCATCATGTTTCTCCTCCTCCTCCGCCTCCTCCTCCTCCTCCTCCTCCTCCTCATCATCATCATCATCATCATCATCATCATCATCATCATCATCATCCTCATCCTCATCCTCCTCCCCCTTCCTCCTCCGCACCCTCCTCTTCCGCCCCCCTCCTCCACCCTCTCCTCCTCGCCCCACTTCCCCCCCATTTCTTCTCTCCGCCCCTCCCCAGGGGAGGGCGGCGGGAGGAGAGGGGGGGGGGCGAGGGGCCGAGGCCAGCGGCGGTGGCGACACGCAGCCCGCGCACAAGCCTTGGCACGAGCAAGGCCAAGGCCAGGACGGGGCGGGGGGGGGGCATCCAGAGGGGAGGGCATCCAGGGGGTGCATCCAGAAGGGGGCCATCCATGGGGGGGAGCATCCAAAGGGGGAGGTGAAAGGGAGGAAACTGGAGCTTGCCAGGGGTCTGCAGTGGCCCTGCATCTGTTCCAGCGAACAGGAAAGATCAGGAAAGGGGAACAAGGTTCGAGCTTCTGGTTTCGATGGAGTCTTTACCTTTTTTCGGCCACCGAGGGCCGTTCTCGGGCCCCGTGATTGTCAAAAACGAATCCGGTGTGAAGAATTGCACCACCTGGACCGTGGGGGTTGGGTATCGATTTGGAACGGATGCGCACCTCCACATTTTCTGGCCGATTTTTTCGGGGCCCCTCAGGTTCAGACCCCCAGCTGGCTCCAAGGAGGGAGTGAGGCTCGAGGGAGAGGGAGGGAGGGGACGGGAGGACAGGGAAGCGGGGGCAGGAGGGATGGCCACGCGCGGGCCTGGGGCAAAGCCTTCAGGCCCAGGTCGCCAGGCTGCAGAGAGCTAGCGCCGTTCACTCCGGGAGCCAGCTGGGACAGCTTCGACGGGTGGAGGTGCGCCGCGACCAGTTGCGCATCCACCTCGTCGGCTCGTGCCTGGGCCTCAAGCCTTTCCTGCACCCGTTGTACCTGCAACTGCACCTCATCCACAGCCACGTGCGTCTTCGATTGTGGCCTGCAAGCGGCAGACCTCGCCATTGGCCTTTACGATCTTAGTGTTGATCGGACGGGGATCGACCAAGCATTGCTTGAGGTTGGCGTGCTCGGTTTAGAAGGCCTCCATCTTCTCGTACTCGGGGGGCGTCGGGACTACCTCCGGTCCTCCCGAGCAAGCCTCTTCTTACATGATTGTCTTTGTCGCTCGTCTCCTCTGGGCAACCGTGGAGCCCCATGGCGTCCCTTGCGACCGCCTGCTCAGGGGGTCCGCCAACGCCGCCTGCTTCCGCTTCCTGAGCCTCGCGATCTCGAGCTCTTGAACATGTGAAGCTACTTCGCCTCGGCCGGCCATGACTGGGATGGTTCCGCTCGCCGCTCGGAGGACTCGCGGGGCCTCTCGTTGCCGCCGAAGCTGACGCCCTTGTCCAGCTTGCACTTGGGCGCAGCGAGCAGCCAGCCCCAGGTGAAGTTCCGCTCCCCGCTGTCATCTCGCCTCATTGCTTCGTATATTTTGCGTGGGTAATACACAGATGTACACATATACAAATATGCATATGTATACATAATTATGTACATGTGTATATAAGTATATGTACATATCCACAGATATACAGATCGGAGGTTGGGGGGGGAGATCGCAGTGGAACGGAGACCCCCAACCGGGAAATCGTTTCGTTTCGTTCGTGTCGTGCGGGCGGGAGAGGCGAAGCTGCGTGGGCGCGCGAGAGGAATGAACCCGCCGTTGCTAGGGCGAAGTCAAGAGAAAGGATTCTCCCCCACCCGCCCGTCCGGCGGTGTCCCGCGGTGTTCCGCGGTGTCCCGCGGTGTCCGGTGGTGCCCTGTGGTGTCCCGTAGTGTCCGCCGTTGCTAGGGCGAAGTCGAGACAAATGATTCTCCCCCGCCCGCCCGTCCGGCGGTGGCCGTCGCGTTGTCCCGCGGTGTCCCGTGACGTCCCGTGGTGTCCCGTTGAGTGAGATCGATAGTGAGATCGACAGGTGTCCCGTGGTATCCCATGGTGTCCCGTTGAGTGAGGTCGATACTGAGATTGATACTGAGATCGATGTGGTGCCCCGAGGTGTCCCGTGGTGTCCTGTTGAGTGAGATCGAAAGTGAGATCGACAGGTGTCCCGTGGTGTCACGTTGAGTGAGATCGACCGTGAGATCAATAGTGAGATCGATAGTGAGATCGATGTGGTGTCCCGTGGTGTTCTATGGTGTCCCGTTAAGTGAGATCGATAGTGAGATCGATAGTGAGACCGATCGTGAGATCGAGAGGTGTCCCGCGGTGTCCCGTGGTGGCCCGTGGTGTCCCGTTGAGTGAGATCGATAGTTAGATCGACAAGTGTCCCGTGGTGTCCCGTGGTGTCCCGATGAATGAGATCGATACTGAGATCGATTGAGTCAGATGTTGGTTCCCCCCCTCCCCCCCCCCCCCACAACCTCCTCACCCGAAGGGTGAGCGTATAGGTATATGTGTGTATGGCCGGTTGGGTTTCGTGGAACATTCAGATGCGACGCGCTCATTGTCCTCTTTCAGGCCACGGTTCATTACATGAGCTTACTTATCGCAGGTCGGTGTGCGTCGAGCTCCTGCTTTGTTGGCGACATATTGAATCGAACAGCGGTTGAGGCCGAGCAGTGTGAAGTTGTGCGGTCGCGCTCCATACTCCTCCTCACACCAGAAAAGAAAACACAAAGACACGTCAGCAGTACCAGTCGGGCGTTTGTTTCTACATCGCGCCTCGGCCGCAGGCGACCCCTCCGCAGGCGTTGGTACCTTGCTTCTCCGTCGCAGCGACAGCACATTCAGCAAACGTAAAGGGCAATCGGTGCAAAGGCAACGGGCGGGCCCGCCGAGACACGTGATGGGAGAGCCGCCAGCCAGCGGCATTATTTCCGCATGGAGGCTATTCAACCTCTTAGGAAAACATATTGAGCAAAAATGGCAACGGAGGAGGAAGATAGGACAAATGACGAGGAGGAGGAGGAGGCGGAGGGGGAGGAGGAGGAGGAGGAGGAGGAGGAGGAGGAGGAGGACGAGGAGGAGGAGGAGGAGGAGGAGGAGCAAGAGGAACAGGCCCGTAGCCATTTGGCTCAAGCAAAAACCGCTTGCCCTGGCGCCATCTACTTGTTCGCAGGCCAGGGGTTGGCTCGAGCCCCACAACCTTTCGACATCCCGGTCACAGGAGCCACCTGGCGCTGTGATCTCGTTTCGGCCATTCCCAGACCGCCATGTTCCACGATGCTGCCGCCTGGCATCTCGCAGCCGAGATTGAGGCCGCGCCGGCCTTCCCATCCCAGGCGACGCGGGGAACTACAGGCGGGAGTAGGCTCGACAAGAGACACCGGGTGGCCGAGGATCCACTCGAAACCGTGGTTTCTTTTCGCATTTTTGTTGGCAACACCCGTGGTGAGATGCTCAACGTCGTCGCAAAGCTGCAGGCCAGCGTCGCCGAGCTCAGCTCCACGATTGGCGCCAACCGTGACCAGATCAGCAAGAGGGTGGAGGTCAGGCTCGGGGACTTGCAGGCAAAGCAGCAGGCCACCAACACCCGCGTCACAACTTGGGAGCGCCAGGTCGCCGAATTCAAGGAGCTCCTGCACTGCATCAAACATGAGGAACCGCAGACGGCGGTATTGGACTCGACGTTGAACCGCATGGTCGATCCGTGCATCATCGTGGCCTGCACCAAGAATGCATGCCAACGAGAAGCTGTCCAAGCTGCCCTTCAAGATTGGCTGGCCCGTGCCCAGCTCATCCTCAACGACTACGACCACCAGGCGGACCCCGCAGGGAAGCGATTCGCCTTCCGCGTCAAGTGAAATCCGACCTGCGCCCAGAGGAATGTGGTCCAGGCCATGAGAGCCTTGCGCTTCGCTCAGGGGCAGCGGGAACGTCATTCCACGGTCTTCGTGCTCGGCCAACGCACCGATATGTTGGCAGCAACGACAAGAACCCGGCCATGGTCAAAAGGGAGTTTGGCCTCAAGCAGTTTCGTCGCGCTTTCGAGACCACGGGCCCGAACGTTGGGCACTCATTTACAAGCAGACAAGAAAGCTCTCAGTCAACTGGATGCTGCTTGCAAGGATCATTCCCGAGCCAGGGGATGACGAATCCGTTTTGGAGCGGCGCTTACCCAACTCGGCAGAGCTCGGGACTGACGAGAACCAGGTTGTGCAACATGTTCAGCGTGGGGGCAACGTCACCAGCCCGGCACAGTGGTTTCATTTGACGGCATCCAGCGCCACTTGCGCTGAGAGCAAGGCACCCCGTGACCTGCGATCCTGTCTTCCTGGAACGCGTGGGCCCTCTTCCACCGCAAGCTCCTTCCCCAGAAGGTAAACTTCTTCTTCGCCGTCTCTTCTCACTTGGCAGTGTCATCGGCGTAGGAGAATGTCACGACAGCGACCGTCAAGTCCGAGACCTGCTCTACCAGCAGAAGCTTCACTATGAATATCAAAGTTTAGTGTGTCAAATTCCCAGGCTGGGGGCGCCTGCACCTTTGCGTCGAAGCCTTGTTGCCTTGACGGGGGCGGCTCTCGGTTCCAAAGAAAGGTCGACGGTCCTGGTGGCGATCTAGACATTGTTCTGGGTTTCGGGCACTTCATCATCATCCACTACAGCGCCCATGGCTATCAGCGAGGAGCACATGCCAGGCCCAGGCGAACAATTGCTCAGCAGATCAAGCGAGACCTCGCGACGGCAGAGGAGGGCCCCTCCAAAATGCTCGCGGCAGACGCAGGAGATGCCAATGTCGCGGACGCGCCGCGCAGGGGGCCCGATGCCGAGAATGATGAGCAGGCGCGCAAGTATCATCTTCAATGGAGGGCTAATCAGGATGGTATATGGACGGAGGCCCTGAGGAGGATTGTGGAGTTGGAGATGCCAGAGCCCACGCACCATTATCAGTCTGGGCGCATGCTCAGCTCCATTGGTCGACAGTCTGCATCCAGCCCACGGCGGGCGCGCCCGCAGCTGATCGCCGAAAGGAAAAGCAATGGGACATCCCGACATCTTGAGCCGGCAAGGGATCGTCGACCGCGCGCCGACCAGGGTTCTTTACGCCCGCCGGCCCGACTCCCACTCCTGAAAGACACATTCCCCCTCAGGTTTGCGAACGCCCTGATCATGCTCAGAAGCTATCGGGGCCGAGCGCGACCGGGGCGGACCCGCCCTTTCCGCGAGGTTGGACGCCGAGATGACGCGCGGGGCCGCCAAGATCTAGACGCGCGCCCACGATATCCATTGCACCGCAGCCGATCAAAGAGAAGCGCCGCAGCGACAGCAGATCTCGAGCACGGAAGATGAGCATAGTCGAGC